ATTGCATAAGTAATTTCAGTCTAAGTTGTATGATTAGAGGTAGGAAAATGCCTGAGCTCTGTCTGCTTTTTGAATTAATTTCTCATTTCATTCAGTTCTCTTTTTCTCCAGAATGGTTTTCTACTTAATTTGAATTTTGATCAGTTTGATTTCTTTGCTCTTGATGATTTGTTTCATGGTTGTGAACCAGATTAAACAGATATCCTAATATGCTGAAATTCTTCTTTTTCTCAGATGTTATGCTCCCTCAAAACTATTTGCTTTTCATGGGTAGAATCTTAGTCTGGAAATCACCATGGAAATAATCTGCTTTTAAGCCTGACCCATTGCAGAAATCTTCTAAAACATTTCTTCAGGTTATTATCCAGCTTCTGCTTAATTATCTCTCATGATAAGAAAACTGTTCCTTCAAAAGCTGATTCTTACAGAAATGAATCACTAGAAATGTAGGGGAGTGGGGATGATCTGTTTTCCCCAAAGGAGATTAATTAAACTGATTAGAAGCAGAATGGACTGGATTTTGAGATTTGGATTATGTGGACATAAAAAATTGTATTTGGGCTCTGTTTGAAGATTAATGTTTAGCAAATAGGAAAATAGGATTTGAATTGTATAAATTAGAGCTTGTGACATATTTAAATAAATAACCTGAGGAGTTCTTAGCTCCCTTCTGTCTAACTGCACAGTAATTAGTATCGTTCATGGCAAATTGATGGTCTGGAAGACTCACTTTTGATATTATTATAAGATATTTTCCCTGAGTCTTCTAGAACTACCCCCTTTTTTTGTTATCCTATAATAAATATCCTACTCTTTATCATTGCCTCTGTTATATTATATTTCTGTCATATAATATATTGAGTGTCTTAAAGACAGGGACTATGTCTTGTTTATCTTAGTTTCATTAGTGTATAGTAGAGAACCTGAAATATATAGGGCTCAATAAATTTGCCAAATGAATGATGTACACTCTGTAATTAAGACTTCCCAGGAGTGAAACAGTCAATTGCTTGCTCTAAACTTTCTTGAATAATTCCCTTTTTATTAGTTCTGTTGACTATTTTAAACTCAGGAGTATTCAGTTTGAATATCAAATATTCACTTTGTTTGCCATTTTAAAAAATTGGTTCATCTGTGTGTTTTCTCTATGATGAAAAGGATTCTCCCTGGTATTAATAACTCTTCCTGGCACTGAATTAAGGTTCTAGAATGTTTCTTCCAGAGTTCCCAGAATGATTTTTTTAAAAACTGAAAAGATTTATGAATCACCACGCCTTCCATAAATATTCAGAATTGCTTTCATGGAGTTACTTAGCTATCAAGAAGATAGATCTCATCAGAACATTAAAAAAAATCTCTTAAAATAGGTGTTCTTCTAGTGTTCAAATATCTTTTCATAAAACTATGAATATTTACTATTTTATTTCAATAAATAATTGAATTTGCTCTATTTTCTGCTAAATAAGTACTTTCCTTTATATAGCTTTCAATGTGTAGAAATAAATTAGTATGTTTATGATTATGTGAAGGCACATGCACACACATACAGACACACCAACATACCCATACACAAACACACTCCCCTGAGGCTTACTGTGAATTGCCAGTTTAATATTGTCCTCACAGGGCGCAGCCAGGAAGTTTCAAGCTGGACGCTTGCCTTAGTTACAGAGCTTGATTATAAGGCAGCAGAAAGTGCCAAGCCTTCAGAATCTAGTTGGCCATTCTATTGTTTGAGAACCAGTTAAATAAATTGTTTTGGATTATCCTTTGTAAGTCATAACTTCCGTAAATACTTAGGCAGAGAAATGATTTTAAAATAGTTTGTTTGAAGTAAGGTATACCAATGATTTATTTGTACATTTCACAGAGTTGGTTAAATTTTCAACTTCTGTAAAGTAAGTGATTTCAATGTAGGTCTCTTCGCAATTTTACATGAGGAAATACAAGACGTTTTCATCACAAAGCATGTAGTTGTTTTGATACCCAGGTGTCATAAGTTAGCTTTTAGAATGAGGAAGCTCTGACACATAGATGATCATGCATAAGCAAACTTTAACTCTGCTAGAATCCTGTAAAAATTCAGTAACAATCATAATTCAGACTGTATAAATTGCTGGGCCATTAAATGTTAATAAATTTTATTTGTGTTCTTTTGGTGTGTGTGTGCATGTGTGTGTGTGTGTGTGTGTGTGTGTGTTTAAGGGAGGGAGGGCAGGAGAGAGGGAGAAAGAGAAAGAGAAAGAAGGAGAGAGAGAAAAGTTTCTTCATTAAGATAATTTTATTGAAATTAAGCTATTTAACTTTTTGGGTTTTTTTTTTGCAAACCACTTCCCATTCCCCCCGCCCCTCCCCATGGAGGCGATAAATTCTCTCATTCACATAGATAAAGAATATTTTAAACAAAAGTTATCATGAAAATTATAATTCTTTGGGTCTCTGGTGAGGAGTGAATATTCTAGCTTTGATCATAAATGCCTGAAATTCATTGGTTAGTTCCTATGGGAGCATGTTCTTACAGGGTAATTAAGATTGCTGTAGGACTGTACAATGACTTCGTACTTGTACTTTTAGGACGTAGCGCCTCCTATAAAATATTAAGTAACCAGAAATTTAAAATAATAGTATTTTTCTTTTCTTTTTTTTTACATCTTTATTGGAGTATAATTGCTTATTTATGAATCACCACGCCTTCCATAAATATTCAGAATTGCTTTCATGGAGTTACTTAGCTATCAAGAAGATAGATCTCATCAGAACATTAAAAAAAATCTCTTAAAATAGGTGTTCTTCTAGTGTTCAAATATCTTTTCATAAAACTATGAATATTTACTATTTTATTTCAATAAATAATTGAATTTGCTCTATTTTCTGCTAAATAAGTACTTTCCTTTATATAGCTTTCAATGTGTAGAAATAAATTAGTATGTTTATGATTATGTGAAGGCACATGCACACACATACAGACACACCAACATACCCATACACAAACACACTCCCCTGAGGCTTACTGTGAATTGCCAGTTTAATATTGTCCTCACAGGGCGCAGCCAGGAAGTTTCAAGCTGGACGCTTGCCTTAGTTACAGAGCTTGATTATAAGGCAGCAGAAAGTGCCAAGCCTTCAGAATCTAGTTGGCCATTCTATTGTTTGAGAACCAGTTAAATAAATTGTTTTGGATTATCCTTTGTAAGTCATAACTTCCGTAAATACTTAGGCAGAGAAATGATTTTAAAATAGTTTGTTTGAAGTAAGGTATACCAATGATTTATTTGTACATTTCACAGAGTTGGTTAAATTTTCAACTTCTGTAAAGTAAGTGATTTCAATGTAGGTCTCTTCGCAATTTTACATGAGGAAATACAAGACGTTTTCATCACAAAGCATGTAGTTGTTTTGATACCCAGGTGTCATAAGTTAGCTTTTAGAATGAGGAAGCTCTGACACATAGATGATCATGCATAAGCAAACTTTAACTCTGCTAGAATCCTGTAAAAATTCAGTAACAATCATAATTCAGACTGTATAAATTGCTGGGCCATTAAATGTTAATAAATTTTATTTGTGTTCTTTTGGTGTGTGTGTGCATGTGTGTGTGTGTGTGTGTGTGTGTGTGTTTAAGGGAGGGAGGGCAGGAGAGAGGGAGAAAGAGAAAGAGAAAGAAGGAGAGAGAGAAAAGTTTCTTCATTAAGATAATTTTATTGAAATTAAGCTATTTAACTTTTTGGGTTTTTTTTTTGCAAACCACTTCCCATTCCCCCCGCCCCTCCCCATGGAGGCGATAAATTCTCTCATTCACATAGATAAAGAATATTTTAAACAAAAGTTATCATGAAAATTATAATTCTTTGGGTCTCTGGTGAGGAGTGAATATTCTAGCTTTGATCATAAATGCCTGAAATTCATTGGTTAGTTCCTATGGGAGCATGTTCTTACAGGGTAATTAAGATTGCTGTAGGACTGTACAATGACTTCGTACTTGTACTTTTAGGACGTAGCGCCTCCTATAAAATATTAAGTAACCAGAAATTTAAAATAATAGTATTTTTCTTTTCTTTTTTTTTACATCTTTATTGGAGTATAATTGCTTTTTACATTGTTCTGTTAGTTGCTGCTGTATAACAAAGTGAATCAGCTATACGTATACATATATCCCCATATCCCCTCCCTCTTGAGTCTCCCTCCTACCCTCTCTATCCCATCCTTCTAGGTAGACACAAGGTAACGAGCTGATCTCCGTGTGCTTTGTGGCTGCTTCCCACTAGCTATTTTACATTTGGTAGTGTATATATGTCCATGCCACTCTCTCACTTCGTCCCAGCTTACCCTTCACCCTCCCCGTGTCCTCAAGTCCATTCTCTACATCTGCATTTTTATTCCTGTCCTGCCCCTAGGTTTTTCAGAACCATTTGTTTTTAGACTCCATATATATGTGTTAGCATATGGCATTTGTTTGTCTCTTTCTGACTTACTTCACTCTGTATGACAGACTCTAGGTCCATCCACCTCACTACAAATAACTCAATTTCCTTTCTCAAAATATAGTATTTTTTTGTCTCATACTGTTCTGTGTTAAATGTTATCTACAACTTCTTTCTTTGCAAGTTTGTATACTTTGCCCATTTATCAGCTTTGATGAGACTTCCACAGAGGAAACTCCTCTGACCTTGCAGACTTGTGCAGTTTCCTTTAGTTTCCACTCTCAGGGTATCTGTTTCTCTCACTACTAGCATTTATGTTATCACAAGTATAATTGTTACATCTATAACTAGTTTTCAGTGTTCCCCCTAGCACATTACTATGAAACATTCATATAATTTTCTTGAGAAAATACAAAACCCATAGTAACAGCTAAAAGTTAAATAGTATTTAATCTTTATTATTTATGTAACAGAATGTTAAAATAGGACACTTTGTTTCTTTTTGCAGCTGAAAAGTTTTAGAATTTTAGACAGGCACATCTGCATTCAGACTCTGCAAAAGAGATGTTATTTATCGCACTAGATCCCAGCGTGTTGGTTTATCCATTCACGGTAGGCTGTCACCAGAGTATACACTCCTGGCTTATCTGGCAGAGCACACTGATCCCCCCAGCTTACTATCCCCACGAGGAACCAGAGCTGCCGTGCATCTTCTTGTACTAGTGGGCCACCAGAGTCCCCCTGAAGGAAACAGAAAGATTGACTATTTAAGTGTGAAAACAATGCCAAAGTATTGAGTTTACTTCTATGGCAGTAGAATTCACATCCAGTATGACAGTAAAGTTAGTCTGACATTTCCTGTTGAAATACTAAATACCAAGTCATGCGAAAATTAACAAAATCTTCCAAGTACACATGTTGTTCCTTCAGCAACTGTGAGAAGATGAGAAGCATATTTTCCAGACTCCACCAGTCTGCTACTCATCCCAGGCTCACCTCCTTCAGGGGGCCATCCCTCACCTGCACCTTTCCTCCCCACTGTCACCGCTTCCAGCTTTGGGCTAGATTAGTTTTTCACTGCCTTCATTCTCACATTCTGTGGGTACTTTCACTGCTGCTTCATTATTTTGTACATGCACACTTGTGTACCTGTTTGAACTTGCTCCCACTGGATCAGCTCCCCTCGTTGTAGCAGCTGCACATCTCTGCAACTCTCATTGCATTTATGATACTTGTTCAGTGTCTGTTTTTCAGGCTCTACTGTAAGGTCCATAAGGGAAGGGGGCATACATATTCTGGACACTGCTATATGCTAAGCCTCTAGCCCAAAGGAAATGCTAAGAAAATGTCTGTTGAATGAATAAGTTTTTAGAAATCTCACTTATCTTCCTATTCATAGCACAATACATGGTGTTTGATATACAGTGTATCAAAAAATATTCTTTTGGTGAATAATAGAAATTTATATGGCAATGAGTAAAACACTCCTTATGAAATATTTACCAGCAAATTATAATAATAAGCCAACCAACTAAATATTTGTGCATGTAATCTATTTGGGGAGAAAAATTAGGATATCTTACATGCTGTATAATGGGTTGTCTGTGGGTTCTGGAGTTAGCATAGGTTTGAATCCTCTATTTACTAGCTATATGATTTTCAGTAAGCTACTTAATAGCCCTTTGTACTTCAGCTTCCTCATCTGTAAATAATATTTTAATGTGTTTAAATGAGTTTAACATGCATAGCAATCTGAGTATAGCCTGGTAAATAGTACTAATAAAACTCAGCTGTTATTACCAAGTATGCTTCTAGAATAGTTTGCTATTCATTTGACTGCTCTTAATAGTAGCTAGTTCTCCCATGCCTACTTAATTACTGGTTTAGATGGGGAGAAGGGTTGGTGTCTGAATTACCAGCTTGATAGCAAGTACTGCATGGAGGTGATTGGCATCTGCCTCCTTTAGATGTTGCACATGTGCTCCAGTTTACCAGTTCTCAGCACTCTCCCATCATTGTGTTTTTCTTCTACTTCTTCTACAGTAAGAGATTTCTTTGCATAATGTCTTACCAAGAGTGGGCAAGCAAATATTAAACTAAGTGGGACATGTAATTTTTCCTATATCTGGGCAGCTTCACTGCCTGATTGGGCAGATATCTGAGCCTGTGGTCTCTCTTCTAGACCATAGACTTGCTAAGTTCAGGTGATACTGTGTAAGCACAGAGTCTGGTACATAAAAAGTAAATAATGCAATTTAAAAAAATGAATGAACAAAAACAAATAGGATCTCATAAGCTCTTATGTAAAGTGCTATTTTTTTGAGGCATAAACTCTATGCATTATATATAGTATTTCAGCTGAAAATCAGTGAGACCCAGAGTGGAACACACAGGAAAGTTTCATGGTGAGTTATGGCCTGAACTGAGCTTGGAAGAAGAGCAGAATCTGTATTTGCAGAAGGTAAAGTGTATCATGAGTAAAGCATGAATAAACACCCTTTTATATCCCATGTATATCCTTAAGTCAGTTCTAATTAATGCTCTTAGTAGATCTGAAATTATCGTGTAGAGGTTTGTTGCTTACTTGATTGGTGAATTCTTTGTAAAACTACTATGAAAGTTGAGAATTTGTTGTTACAGGGCTAGCAATAGAAAAGAAGAAAATGGGAAGGGGAACAAGAAGCATTCCCTACCATCAAGACATCTCCACTTAAAGTGAATAAAAACCAGTGGGTAATTAACAGTGTCTTGAAAATTTATAAACAATTCCCCTCCACCCCCACACAGCTTGTAGTCAAGAAAAATGTTTCATTTGGGGGAAATGGATTGGGGTCTTTGCCAGAACTATGTAAGAACTACTACTTATCCTCTTTTTCAAGAATGTAAGCACTAAATATAAAAGTCAGCAATGTTTAAGGAAAGAATAAACCTCATTTTTCTGCTTATGATTCAGTCAGGAAAGCAGTAGTAGATTCATCAAGAAAACAGATTGATTTTTCTTAATTCCAAAAATGTAATTTTGGATACTAAGTAGTTGTTGCTGTTACTGTATGGGGTTGGGTTTCAGACATAGGAATAAAATCTATTAAAAAATATAACCACATCAGTTGTTTAATAGTTTAATTAAAAATTTAGTATTAAAATCTTATTCTAAGAGAAAAACAAATACCGTATGCTAATGCATATATATGGAATCTAAAAAAAAAAAAAAAGTACCGGTGAACCTATTTGCAGGGCAGGAATAAAGAGGCATAGAGAATGGACTTGATGACATGGGGTGGGAGGGCGAAGCTGGGCCGAAGTGAGAGTAGCATCGACATATGTACACTACCAGATGTAAAATAGTTGGCTGGTAGGAAGCAGCAGCATAGCACAGGGAGATCGGCTCTGTGCTTTGCGATGACCTAGAAGGGTGGGATAGGGAAGATGGGAGGGAGGCTCAAGAGGGAAGGGATATGGGGACACGTGTATGCATATGGCTGATTCTCTTTGTTGTGCAACAGAAACTAACACAGTATTGTGAAGCAATTATACTACAGTAAAGATCTATTAAAAATAAATAAATAGCAACATACCTTCCAAAAAAAAATCTTATTCTAATTACATTAGAGTAAGAATTCATATTTATTGTTAGTGTTTTTATATTTGGTTGAAAATTACAAAGTAGATCTAAATAGTTTTTTTTTTTTTCTTCATTAGTGCTATTTTACAATTATGGGAGCTATGGTGACTCAAGTAACTAAGCTCTTTGTATAAATTTTTAATCTTCAAAGTGCTGATATTCAGGTATTATTTATATTTTTAAAATCAATTATCTACAACTCTTAGATGAGTGATTTATTTAAGTCTTCATAGTAGAAGGTTGAGGTGAAAGTTATTGATGTCAGTGATCATGGTCTAGGTTGACAACAACAGTAGAAATAGCTGAGATAGCTGAGCTTTTTTGCTTAGTGCGTGCCTGACATATTTAATCTCCATCTAATCTTTAGTGGTACCTAAAAAGTTAGATACTATTCTTATCCCGATTTTATAGATAAAAGGATTGGTAATAGAGGTTAAGGAATTCAAACCCGGGTCTATCTGGTTCTTGAGCTTGATAGTTAACCACTTTGCAACTTGACTTCTCAGAATCAGTGTTTCATGATAGATCAACTTCATATAAGAATCTGTAAAATCTAGACCATACATTTTTAGAGGATCAGGGCTGTGTATTATAATGATACCTCTCTGTCTATCACAATATGACATGCTAGTAAGTGCTTATAAACTTGGCTGATGACGTGGATAACATTGTCTTGAACTTACCTGGCATGCATCCACTCCACCTTGAGATAGTCCAGCACATAGCATTCCAGTCAGGACGGCTCCATTATAACTAGATGGTGCATTACATACATTATTACTTATTATATTGACCCGTGCTTGTTGTAGATCTGGAACTGGGCTGCCTGTTAAGTATAAAAGCAGAATGAAAATGGACTTCAGGGTAGATAACTTAATGATTCTATGGTGAATATAGGAAGGAATAATCGTACTCCAAACATTATCTCTTATTCAGCAAAGAAGGCTATTGAAAATGTACTAGTAGTTTTTTCTCAGCAAAGATTTCCATAGTAGAGATGGATTACCCCTTTACATAGATTGGTGTTTTTCTTTTTTTGCTTTAGGTTTGTGATACAGTGCCCCTTAGACCTTAAGAGGGGGAAAAAATCTGCTTACTTAAAATTGACTAGTAGATTTTGAAATATCCACTGACTAACTTTGAATTAGAAAATTAAATATTAATTAACCTTTAATATAGTAACAAAAGAGAAACAAATCTTGTTTCATGGCTAAAGAATGAATTTATTTTATATTGATATTCCTTCAATATGGCACTGCCATTTTTGTGATTGGCACAGATTTTATTTACTACACCAGATTACTTTGGGCCATGAAAACACAATTAAATATTTTCTAGGACAATTCAGCCTTTGTTTTGTTTCTTGGAGACATGATCTACAAAATAGTTAGAAACCCATGGATATTGTTAATGTTATCCTTCCACTCCCTAGCTGATACTCATTTTCCCCTTGGCTATATTTGCTCTTTCATGTCACCCTTATTTCTTTTTCTCATTTTATTTGCTTCATAAATAAGTGTGAACAATACTTTTGTACACACAGAGTTTCTTGTTCTGAAGGCAGGATTTCTTTCACTTCAGAATACCTTAAAACCCTGAGAATACCTATCTAAATCCTCTTATAAATTTAAAAAATTTTCTTTATAGGGGAGCCATTCAAGTCTGTAGAGTCTCTGGATCATGGAAGAACTCATGTTTCTGTATCACTTGCTTTTAGATTTTCGTTACTGTGTGTGAGAATTCTGTATAGTTTCTAGGGACATTGCTTTGATTTGCTGAAGGAACTCTAGTTAGATCTTAGGATGACCAGACTGTAGCACAGTTCTGTCCATAGAACCTACCCTTCAGGTGTTCCTTAATTTAAAAAAAATGCGTACTAGCAAGTACCAGGAGATATTGCTGTTGTTTTTGTTTTATTTTTCCTGAGATACTCACCGCTGTATCTTTGAGATCCCCATCCTGTTACATAAGCAGGGGAACCAGGTAGAATATTCTGGCTAGCATCTGGGAGGCACACCGTACGGATATTTCTGGTAAAGGTGACTTCTCTATCAAGTTGTAGAAGTGCAATATCATTTTCATGAGTTTCAGGTGTATAATCGTTATGTATTAAAATAGTCCTTATTCCTCTTCTCTGTTTAGGAATTATTGTGGAAATACCAAAGGTGGCAGTCCATTGAAGAGTATCAGAGCGGCTAAAAATATGAAAACATGTTATTTGAATAGAGAACTTGTGAGAATTTCAAATATTTGGTTTTTGTGTTTGTCCCCTCCACCCCCAATCTAGGAAGTATTCGACCAACATTTCTTTGTGATCTATTTCTGTAATTCTCTACTGGCACAATGAGTGATCACTTGTCTAAAGAAACACAGAAATATTTTAGAAAACATATCTTGGGGTGATGAACGTCCTGGTGTTCCATTATTCCAATAAGGATATACTGACACTTTGATGAACACTAGTATAACACAAAACTTTTCTTTGATTTCTCCCTTTTCTACATCCTTCCATTCAAGCAACTAAGAAGTCTGAAATAATGTTCACTTTAGTTTTAACTCTTTCCTTCCAACTGTTATTTTTTTACTTTCCTTTAGCCAGAAGTTCCATTTAAATAGTAGTGATGATAAGGGGCTCCTTGTCTTACTAATTGATGAATGATTTTTCTGTACTAAGTGTGATGCTTCTTGAAGATTTTGGGGTGTGTGTGTGTGTGTGTGTTTGTGTATGTGTGTATGTATTCATACACACACACAGAGAGAGAGAGAGAGAGAGAGAGAGAACTAATATAAAAAAATATAAGGCATTATCTTGCTGACCTAGGAATAGGGACTTTTTAGCCAAACTCTCAAAATACAAACTATACAGTTAAGAATGGGTGAATTTCATGAGATCAAAATTAAATGTATCATATATAGAGAACAAACTAATGGTTACTAGGGGGAGAGAGAGGGGGTAGGGGCAAGATAGGTATAGGGGATTAAGAGGTACAAACTATTATATATAAAATAAATAAGCTACAAGGATATGGTACAATGCAGGGAATATAGCCAACATTTTATAATAAATGGAGTATAACCTTTAAAAATTGTGAATTACTATACTGTACACCTATAATATATAATATTGTGTATCAACTATACTTCAATAAAAAGTATGTAGAATAAAAAAGAAAATTAAAAGACATAAAAAAATGAAAACAAAATTAACTGTACCATAGACATATTTATCAGATGAATGAGAAAAGACTTGCAATGTTTAATATCTAAAATTTTTGTAGAATATACAGAAGTCTGTAAACCAGCAATAAATGGAGGGAGAAACAATTATACAATGAGCAAAAAATATTAATAGGCATTTCATGGGAGAAGCCCAAACAGCCGGTAGACATATGAAAAGATACTCAAACTCACTAATAAGCAGAGAAATGGAAATTATAACAATAATGAGCATCTAATGTATATTCATAAGAATGACAAAAAATTGAAAAAGAATAGTATTGTGTTGGTGAGAAAGAAATTTGAACTCTTTTGCATTACATGTGAAGATGTAAAATTCTGGAAAGCATTGTAGTGTATTTAGCACACTGTATATATACATCTGGGTATGTATGTCAGAGAAATTCTTGAAGGTTTATAGAGAGGCACATATGAAGGCATGAGAGAAAGTGTGTATGTGCTGCTCTTTGTGGCAGTGGGAAGTTGGAGCAACCTCGCTGGATGAAGGGATATGGTGGATGCAGTGGTGGACCAGATTAAAATTCCCAGGATTGAGCAAAAACAGTAAGGAAATATGAGACTTATACACAGTGCTACTCATATAAATTAAAGACACACACACACACACACACACCAAAGGTTTTGCAGGTAACTGCATATTTAAAGACATGTCAAATATTTGTGTGAGGCCTATGGGGGCAGGGAAGGTAGTAGAAGTGGAATACAGGTATGACAGGAGAAAAATAAAAGGAGAGAAAGGTCTTGTACAAACTGATGAAAATAAGGATCTGTGAATTGGAAGGTTGATTAATGCAACATGCTTTTAAGGTTGAATAAAAGCAAAATGTAACCAAATAATTTGAGGGTTTTGTGGAGTTTAGATAGTGGAGTTATACGGAAAATAGAAATTGTATATCCAGGAGATACTTTCATGAGGTACAGTAGCTTGCAAAAGAGTAAATGCTAGTTAAAAATTATAAAGAAAAAATATTTGACAACAAGAAAATACGTGAATTTTTATATTAAACTTCTTTTGCCTCAGGGTCTTTATAGTGAAGATTTTAAAAGATACTCTTCTTTCTTTCTTCCCTGTCTGCCTCCCTCCCTCCCTTCCTTTCCTTTCTTTCAGCAAATGAATAAGAGCATGGTTTTGGAACCAGTTGAATTTAGATTTGAATCTTGGCTGTGTCGCATACTGGCAGTGTTATTCAGGGCAAGTTATTTAATATCGCTAATGATCAATTTTTTATGCATAAAATGTGATTGATTGATACCCTCTAACACAGATGTAAGTATTAATTGAGACAACTAAGGTATGCCAAGATGGGTAGGTAACTGTGGTCTTACCTTCTGAAGCAGTGAGCTGCTGTCAGGATCCACTCTTTACTGATCAAGACACCTCCGCAGTGGTGAAGATTACTCCACTGTAAACTGACTTGCCATGGCCAGTCTCCTTCCTTAGCTTTAGTGCCTCCTATGATTCTCTCAGCAGACAATGATATTAGGTCTGGACGGACCCCACATTCTAATGGGAAAAGGGAATTAATGTGCTGAGAAGATCATGATTCTTACACTTGGCAGATGCTTTAAGAATTTCACCATCATTTATGATTTATGTCTCTTATGTATTCTTTCCCACGATATGCTAGGCTTTCCAAAAGCATGATCAATATGTTATATTTTTAGAGTACTTATGTGACTGTTGCCTATAGATTGCATTTTAGAGAACATTGCTGAACTTAATTGGCATGGAGGTTTCAAATTCTGGAGCAGCTTCAGAGTTCTCTGGAATTCCTCATGAGTGGGGGTTAAGATAGGTCAGTGCTGGAGGCACCAGTTCAGGCCACAGGTTCCCTGGGAAATTTCCATCTTCTCAGTAGCCTTGCTACTCAAAGTGTGGTCTGTGGATCTGCAGCATGGGCCTCCCCTAGGAACTTGTTAGAAATGTTGGCTCTGTGTAGAAACAACCTAAGTGTCTGTCAGTAGATAAGTGGATCAAGAAATAGTGGTATATATGTGCACATAAGCATGCACACAAGCATGCACACACACACAGGAATGTTATTTAGCCTTAAAAAAGAAGGAAATCCTGTCACTTGCAGCAACATGGATGAAACTGCAGGGTATTGTGCTAAGGGAATTTTCCAGACAAAGACAAATACTGCATGGTATCACCTATATGTGGAAATTAAAGTTGAACTCCTAGAAACAGTAGAAAGTGGTGGCCAGCGGGTTGGAGGAATAGGGAGAGTTTGGTAAAAGGGTATAAACTTTCAGCTGTAAGATGAATAAGGTCTGAGAATCTAATGTATAACATAGTGACTATAGTTGACAACAGTGTATTGTATAATTGAAATTTGCTGAGAGAGTAGCAAATTTGCTGAGTTCTCGCTTAAAAAAAAAAAGGGAGGTGATAAATATGTGAGGTGATGAATGTGTTAATTAGCTGGATGAGGGGAATCTTTTCATAATGTATACATGTATCAAATCATGACATTGTACACTTTAGATATCTTGTAATTTTATTTGTCAGTTGTCCCACAGTAAAGATGAACAGCAATGACAAAAAAAAAAATTTGACTCTCAGACCCACATCAGGGAACAAATCAAAAGCTGCATTTTTTTCCCTCCAACTTTATTAAGGAATAATTGAAAAATATTGATACAATGTATATATATTTAAAGTATACAGTGCGATGATTTGATATACATATACGTATACATTGTAGAATGATTACCAAGTTCAAGATATTTAACACATCTAACACCTCACATAGTTCTCTTTTGTGTGTGTGTGTGTAAGTGTGACGGGAATACTTATGATCTACTCTCAGCAGCTTTCAAGTGTACAATACCATATTACTAACTATAGTCACCAAGCCGGGCATTAGGTTCTCAGAACTTACTAGAAGCTATATTTTAACAAGTGATTCATGTGCACAATGAAGTTGGAGGGAAACTGCTCTCATCATGAAGACTCTGTAGTGGTAATTCAGTTCATTGTGGACAGTTCAGTCCACATCTGTAACTGACTCTATCTTACCAAATGTGCCCTGGAAAAGGAGTTACTTTAGGTCCACAGAATATTCTCGAGGATAACTGAAGGTTTCTAAGTAACTAGATGAGGTTTATTTAAATATTTTAAGAGAGCCCATGACTCTCTAATGGTCAGAGCTGAAACGGGCTGGAGTGGGCTGGATCACTCAACTCCTCTTAACTCCCACTCCCATGGTTTATTTTCTCTTGTTTAGTCTATTACTGAGAAATTAGAGGTAAATCACCACCAACAGTTTCTATTGCTGGACCAGCTCTGAAGTAGTGACATTGCTTCAATAGGACACCATCCAAAGGCATTTTTTCTAACAGATCTCCCAGATAGAGGAGGACTAGACTTCCAGTAAGAATATACATGGAATATAGGTTCCTTTGCTACATTCTCCAACCAAATTCTCTAGTAAATTATTTAAGCACATTTTAATGAAAAAGAAGCATGAATTAAATATATAATGAAGTTGAAAAACACCCACAGAGGAAGAAGCATTAACTTATAACATCACTTAAGTATGTGAGATAGGCCAGCTATCAAGATATATTGAACTAATTTCTAACTACCTTTTATTAGCCAGAGAAGTAAACTGCTGTTTTCTAGGGGCTATATTTCTGCTATCCTAGCCTGAGAGTATACCTAAGGACATTGGAAAGCAGTGACTTTTCTAATATGTTATAGACATAAACTGATATTGCTTTTTGTAATTTTTTTTATTATACTTTATGATTAACTTAAATCCACAACAAAGCAAGTTATTCTGGTGGTTAGGAGAAGGCATATAAATAATGCAACTAAACGTAATTTGCAAGTCTACTGAAATGCTGCCATGGAACCAGGGCAGGAAAAACTTCCCAAAGCTACCAGGAAAACCTTAATGAGACCAAACTTGATACAGAGTGGTGGAATGGCATTGCTACTTCTTCCTTCTAAAAGGAGGGGAAAACTTAAAAATCACTTTATAGGCCAACAGAATCAGCAATGTCTTATCTCAACAACAACCCACATGAGTGAACTAAGAATAAAGGTACCATATCAATAGACACTGCGTTGGCAAAGACTACAAATCACATGCACATTTACTCTTTTTATTTTGGTAAACCACATTTACAAAGTAATTTAAAAGCTTACCTTGAGTTAAAATATTTTCTGTATCCTGGTGAGTTATTTCTGGTGTTAAAAAAGAGAGAGAGAGTAAGATCAATACAAAAAGGACTGTATACCATTTCACCTTAATTTCTTAACGTGTAGTCCTCAGACAACCATAATCAGAATCATTTAGAGGACTGCTAAAATAGACTCCTTGACTCCATCCCAGACCTGCTGAAAGAATCTGAGTCATGGGCTTCAGAAAACTGTTTATAATATTCCCTCAATTTATTGTTTGCACACTAAAGTTTGTGCTTTAATTTCTCATCAAATGCTTAAAAGATAGTTAAAAGTTATTTAAAAGATATTTCTGCTCTCAAGTCACTCAGTTTACTTGGGAAGACAGCAACATAGTTATGGAGATACAATGTAGTAAATGCTATAAGAGAAGTTAATTTTTCATTTTTTTCTAATATATATTTATGTACATATAACTATATCTGTATTACTTTACTGATACTATTTGTAGTACTGCAGGTATAACAAAATATAGGGAGTCTGCCATTACATAATTTATAGGTAGAAATTGATCAAGAAATCATTCAAATAAATTTAAGTGTGAAGTAGGATAAAGGAGAGAGTTACTAGTGATTCTGGTTCACAGATATTATCATGATGAAAATAACATTTGAGTTGTATTTTGAATACCTAAAAGGAGTTTTTCAGGCAGGCAAGAGGTAAAAAGGCATTCCAGATGAGAGATATAGTGGGCACAAATGCATGGAGGTGTGGAGCAATAAAGTCAGTAGAGCTAATACAAGTGTTGCATGTAGGGAAGTGGTGGGAGAGCACAGAAAGGAAAATATGTTGGTGCCAGATGGTGACAGTTTTTTATATTCCAGTTTAATGTCTGCTTATAGAACAGTTTTCTCTTCATGTCCTACAACCATCTCAAACTCGATGTCACCAAATTTTACTCCAAATTTGCTATGTATATTTCCTCCTTTAGTAAATGACACCACTTCCACCAATAGCTAGAAATCTGAAATGGTCTCTAACTCCTCCTTTCTCATCATTTCCCACATCTTATTGCTTTCCAGATTTTGTACCTTCTACCCTCTAACAATCCTTTGCATTAGCACCATCTTCCCCCTCCCTTTGGCTACTACTTTAGTTCATGCTTTCATCATTTGACACCTATTCCCTGCCTCCACCTTTTCCCTTTTTAATGCATCCACCTCTACTTTACCAGACTGACATATCTAAAAATGTAGATCATATCAGAGTATATTCTTCTCTGCTTGAAATCTTTTAATGAGAAATCAGCTTCTTATTTCCTATAAGATAAATCTAAACCTCTCAGACAGGTGTTCATGTTCTCTAAAGTCAACTTAAACAAACTTTTTTGCTGCCAGAAGTTTCACAGGGCTTGGGTATCACACCTGCTTTGTAAGTGTTAGAGGAGGCAAAACATCCTTTTGGAGAAAGGAAATAAAAAGAGCTGACCATTCCTTTTCATTCTTTGAGCAGGAAAGACTTTATTTCAATACTGGCTCCCCTACATGCTGCCTGTATGCCCTGGGCAATTATCTATCTTTTCTGAGTGGGGACAATAGAAGTATCTATAACATGTGGTTGTTGTGAGGATTAACAAACTGTAATGCATGAGCATCAGCTAGTCAGGAAGGACACAGCCACCTATGGAGCTGGATCAGTGTCTTGGAAGTCCTTGCTGTGCTAAGCATTAATGCTGTAGTTGCAAGGGGAGGAGTTGGGAGTCCAAGGTAGGGATGGGAGAATTTGGAGGGGTTGGGGAGGCACCTTTGTAGGCCTGGTGCAGTGGTTATTTACCAACAGATAGGAAAGAATTTCAATATTTTAACAACTAGTAAAACCATAACAGGTATTTGCTGATTAACTACCAGTCCAATGTGGGAGCCACCAAAATTCCTTGTGAGCTAATTATGAGGGGAATCATGGTTTCTTAAGCTAGCAGTACATGACAGAGTTGAAGGAGTGTCCTTAAATTCTATGCATATATTAAGTAATTCCTTTTAAAGTCATGCAAAAATATAAATGGAGTACTTATTATGTGCTAGACACTGGGCAGTAGAAGGACAGTAGGATGAACAAGGCAGACTGGTCCTTGCCTTTAGAAAACTTACAGAGTAGGATGAAGACACAGAAATAATATTGTAGTTTCAATTGTGATAAACGCTGTGAAGGAAAATGAAGGTGTGTATGGCAGAGGTAAATAATTTAGTACTGGAAGTTAGAAAAGACTTACATTAGAAAGAAATGATTCAGATGATATTTGACAGATGCAAGGGGGTGATCTAACTTGTGTTATAAGAAACTGGAATAATGTATGCAAAGGCCCTGAAGCAAGAAGGAGAGAATTTTTGCAAACAGAGAAAGTGAAGGTGTGGCCAGATTGTGGTGAATGAGGAAGAGAATGGTATAATAAATGGCTAGAGGGGTAAGTATGAACCAGATCATACAGTGCTTTAGATGAGATCACCATATCATTTATTGTCCAAACCAGAAAACGTAAAGACTAATATTAATAATGGTTCTTGGACAATTGGCATGAACCCAGGACTGTCTGGGTAAACCAGGAAATATGGTATTCTTCTTACATGTGGTGTTTATGTTTTGTTTTTATTTTTGTTTTGTTTTGTGGGAAGCCATGGGAGCTTTTAAGCAAGATTGTAGTTATATTTTAAAATATTTCCTTGATCATTATGTGTACAATACATTGGAAAGGGCCAAGGAAGTATAGAAGCAGAGTAGCTTGGAGGCTAGTGCTGTAGTTCAAGTAAGAAATGATGTTGGCTTAGACGAGAGTGATAGCAATAGGGATGAAAAACAATGGAAATAGATTCCATTCTAGGCAGAAGTAGAGAGAATTTTCAGAGAGGAGGTAGGGATATTGTTAAATCTTCTAATTTCCTTCTTTATTCTACAAGTATTTACCAGACGCCTTCCAGTTGCATGCTCTGTTCTCAGGGAGATAGATCCTTAATTAAATTGTTCTCTGACCTCGAACAGCTATTTACCATTCTTATAACATACCTACAAATTGAACATCTGACAGCAACATCCCTTACAAGGAGGGTTGAGAGGGAAAAATAATAAAGAATTTTTAGCAAATAAAACTTACTAAATGAATGGTAAATGATTCTTTAAAACTTTAGAATATTTTATATTGGAGATCTATATATTATAGTTAGCTTCATAATACATTGTTTTCATAAAGTTTAATTCCAAGGGAAAAAAGTCAGTCTCTTATTAAATCGAAACATGAATTAGAACTGGTAGAGAGATATATTGAAATGAAATGGCTAGAAAAATGATACTTGCGTGTTAAGTCAATTGTGTTCATTGCCAAGTTTCCAGAGTTATTCAGCATTTGGTGTAAAACAGACTCAATTCTTTTCACTGATGGTTCATTGTTATTCCTGGCGAATTTAAATTTCATGACAATATCTCCTATCACATCAGTACCACTTTGCCTGAAAAACCATAAAGATATTTTAAAAAATGTATAATTTTGATAATTTTCTGTCATTCTCTTTATATACTCTTCTTGATTAAGCATTAAAAACATTACTTAAGAAATTTAACGTTAGAACAGATTCACATAACAGTGTTTCTGTTTGTAATGATATATCACAATGCTACCCCACAAACACTAGATTTCAGTGCATAGTACACTGTACCCACCATTCAGGATAGCTTGTTTTAAAGTCAGAATGGCAGAGTTTGAACACCAGCTCTGCCATTTGCTGTTGGACTTTAGGTAAGTTTTTTGTTTCTTAATCTTTCTGTACCTGTATCCTCACATTAAAATGGGTTATTATGAAGATTATATGAGTTAACGTATGTAAGACTTTTGGGAAGAGTACATAGCATACAGTAAGTATGCTGTAAGTATTAGCTATGATTAGACTTAACAAATCTTCAAAAAACCCCACTCATCTCATTAAACAAACTTATAAAGAGATGAACTTCCAAGTTTATGTGCTCAAGTTAATTTTCTGGTACCTACACCCCCTTATCTGGCTACAAAAGCACATTTTAACTTCTGTAGTCATACGTTAAGATTTTTATCTCTGTTTCGATTAACAGTTGATATTTCTCACAAGAACCTTGATAATTTGGCTAAAGGTTATAATTCTCTAAAATCGATATAATATCCATTTCCTCCCATGTAAATTACCATGTAAATCACTTCCTCCACCTAATATTGGCACTCTCCTTTTCTGAAAATGAATGTGCATTAGGCACATTTGGTTTTGATGCTCTCATACTCTAGGCTGCCTCCTCTCATCTCAATTGCTAATTTTGCCATAATATTCACCCCAGATATTAATTTAATATTTACTAGATAAATACTAAATAAGCACCTTTTTTGTGCTGGGCGTTATTCTTAGTTTCAGAAATTAGCTGTGACCAAGATTCACAGTTGCCATTCTCATGAATAGGGCAGTTTAGATGAAGAAGCTGACACTGAATAAATAATACATCTTACATTTCTAGCAACATGAAAACCTAAATAATTTTAAAAAGCTTTTCATATAAAACAACCAGAAATGCTAGCGAAAATAGAATAAATTCTATTTGAAATGCAAAGTTGGGCTCCTGTGAAAATAAGGGAAATCTTAGAAGACTAAAAATAAAGAATATGAATATTACATGGTAAGCATTAGAATTGCAATTGTTTTGTGTTTCAGCATTAATAGATACTGGAGATGAGGTCTTGGGCTAGTAAAAAATAGGGAGACGGGGCTTCCCTGGTGGCGCGGTGGTTGAGAGTCCGCCTGCTGATGCAGGGGACACGGGTTCGTGCCCCGGTCCTGGAAGATCCCACATGCCGCGGAGTGGCTGGGCCCGTGAGCCATGGCGTCCCTTCCACGTGGGGGCCTGCTCCCGTTAAGATTTGCCTGCCTCCCTGTAGGAAACACGCCTTCGATTCAGTGCCTTCCTCCCCGCCCAGGGAAGTCCGGGTGGCTTCCTCGCCCTGCAGGGGCCACCGTTGGCTGGCCGGCGGGGCGTGTGGAGCCCAGCGGGAGGGGAGGGTTTCTCAGAGAACTAGGCATTCAGTGAAAGCATAGATTAGAAAGAAGAAGAACTCACATCATAAAAGACAAAAAAGTTTAGTTGTCTCAGAGGTCCAGGTCTGGATGGAAAAAAGGTTCTGAGAATTCACAATCATGAACCTGACTTCATGAAAGTTTTGGATTTACATTAATACCACCTGCATGGTCCCAGACACTTTAATCTAAGAAATTAACCAAAAAATGGTCCATGTGATGCCAATCCTCCTAGAGTATCTGATAGAAGCAAATGCTTTGGAGGTATGTATGTTAAATCCAGACTGCATAGGATCCCAATTACAAAGTGGGATTAAAGATAAGCATACAACGTCAATGGTAAACAATACATCATGAGCTAAAATCAGAATAAGAAGAGCATCCTCAAAAAGTCCACATAATAAAATTAACAGATATTCAGGTAAGTAAATTTGAAATGACAAATGACATTAAAGGGGAATTATAAATATGAGAAAAATATAGTACTTTTTCAAAACAGGTAAACATAGTCAAACATACTTTTTAATTGAAATGAAAACTTGATGGATGAGTTACACAGAATAGTAGACAAAGTTGAAGAGAAACTGGTTAACTGAAAGAGATGAAATCACACAGAATGTAACATAAATAAAGGTATGAAAAAGATCAAATAGAGGCTAAGAGACAGGAGACATCTCAAAGTTTACCTAGTGAACTGTTAAAGAAGAGCACAGAAAAATAAAGGAGCAGCAATATTACAAGAGATAATGAGAATTATCCGGAATTAATAAAGACACTAAGCCTCAGGTCGAGATGAGTCTGAAGCATACTCAATAAAACAAAACACACACACAGATTCATCGTAATAAAACTCTGAACTCCAAAGGTAAATGGAAGATTTTTCAAACAATAGAGAAAAAACTAGCTACCAAAGAAAGTTTTGACTGAAGGACAATTTCTTAATAGCAGCGATAAAGGCAGTATATAATTGTATTTTCAACATGCTGAGAGAAAATTGCTATCAACTTGGAATTTTATATCCACACTAAAGTATTATTCAAGAATGAGGCTAAAATAAGGATCTTTCACGCATCACAACAAAAACAAAACTAAACAAAAGTGTGGTTCATTGTTCATGTACTCTTATTAAAGAATTTATGAAGGAAGTACTTCAGTAAGAAGGAAATTGAACCCAGAAAAAGGTTGTTTGTTAGGTACAGGAAGACATAGGAAACAAAGAAAATGGTAAACTGGTAATCTAAAAAGACATTGACAGGGGCAGAGTCAAGATGGCATACTAGGAGGACGTGGAATTTGCGTCTCGTACAACTGGGGCACCTACCAGGCACTGGTGGGGGACTGTGGACACCTAAGGGGCTGGTAGGAACCCCCAGGCACTGGGTAGGATGTGGGGCCTGGGGGGAGTGAAGCGGGAGGAGAAGTGGAGGCAGGACGGATCTGGCGCCCCTGAGGGGTGGCTGGGGGAGGGGAAAAGGGGGAAATTGGGAAACCATTGGGAGGGCAGAGGATCAAAAGGGAGCATGGCCAGGTTTCCCGTGCCCACTTGGGCCCCCAGGAACCTGCTGAGATCCCAAGCCTGATCCTCTGCCCACGGAGGCCCCCTTTAGCCGTGTGGTCCTGAGGGAGTGGGAGGGAGGGAAGGGGGAGCAAAAGTAAAGGCCAGACCTATGGGACTGGAACCCCTGAGGGGTGGCTGGGGGAGGGGAGGGGTTCCTACACCCAGCAGGACCCACCCATGGTTAGGGGTCCAGCGGCAACGGGGGAGACCCTGGGGGAGATGGTGGGGGAGGGGTGTGAAGGAACAGAAGGGAACACAGCCAGTGCTTCCCCTGTCTGCTTAGCAGCTGGGGAGCCTGTTGGGCTCCCAGGCCTAATCCTCTGCCCTTGGAGCCTCCCTCCTGCTGCACAGAGCTCAAGCCCTGCTCCTACATCCCCACCCAGGGCCTCACCTCTACACTCGGAGACCCCCTCTGAGACCCCCTCCAACGCACTGGGCCTAAACCCCACCCACACACCCTCACCCAGGGCCTACCTCTAAACTCTGGAACCCCACACTCTGGAGGCCCTCCTTTCCACGTGCTGCTTCTCCCCTTCCACAGAGGTCCTAAGCAGAGACCCCCTGTGCCCCTATGCTTGAATTTTGCCCTGCCTAGGCCCCGCCCCCAGGACTTTTTCCAGCTACTTGGGTCCTGAGCCTAGGCCCCCCCATGCAAAAACGTCACGCCCCCACCCACCTAGGTCCTGCCCCACACTGAACCCCGCCCCTGCCTGTTCCACCCCACCTAAACTCCACACCCATAGCCAAGGCCTTTTTCTTTTTTTTTTTTCTTTTTTCCTCTTTTAGATTGAGGTTTTGTTTTACCTTGTTGATTCATTGTTGTTGATTCTTTTATATTTTTATTATTCCTAATAAATATTTTATTTTTCAAACTTTATCTTATTCTTTATACTTTGTTATTGTTCTCTCCTTCTGGCTTGCTTCCCCTGCCCACTTTTTGTTTCCTTTTTTCTGTTGTGGTCTTATTTTACCTTGTTGCAGTTGTTTCCATTATAGTTTTATTTTTCCTAATGTATTTTTTATCTTTCTAATTTTATTTTGTTTTTTATTCTTTGATATTGTACTGCTCCTTTTTTTCTTTTGTCTCACTTTTTTTTTTTTTTTTCTACTGTGCCACAAAGCTTGTGGGAACTTGGTTCCCAGGCCAGAGGTCAGGCCCAGGCTCCTGTGGTGGTAGCTCCGAGTCCAAACCACTGGACTAACAGAGAACCTCAGACCACAGGGAATATTAATCGGAGTGAGATCTCCTAGAGTTCCTCATCTTAGCACCAACCCTGGCTATATCCAACTGTCTGCAAACTACAGTGCTGGAGGTCTGAGGCCAAACAACTAGAAAAACAGGAAAATAGCACCACCCATCAAAAAAAAAAAAAAAAAACAACGAAAAAAGAAGTGACAAAAAAAAATGTTACAGATGAAGGAACAAAGTAAAAACCTATAGAACAAATAAATGATTATGAAATAGGCAGCCTACCTGAAAAAGAATTCAGAGTAATGATAGTAAAGATGATTCAAAATCCTGGAAACAGAATGGAGAAAATACAAGAAACATTTAATAAGGATCTAGAAGAACTAAGGGGCAAACAAGCAGTGATGAACAACACAATTACTGAAATTAAAAATACTCTAGAAGGAATCAATAGCACAATAACTGAAGCAGAAGAATGGATAAGTGACCTGGAAGATAAAAGAGTGGAAATAACTGCTGCAGAGCAAAATAAAAAAAAAGAATAAAAAGAATTGAGGCCAGTCTCAGAGACCTCTGGGACATTAAACACACTAACATTCAAATTATAGGGGTCTCAGAAGAAGAAGAGAAAAAGAAAGGGACTGAGAAAATATTTGAAGAGATTATAGACAA